TGAGATTTGAACAGCTGAACTGCAGATAACAGTCAGCTGAAGTGGCTGCAGTACAGCACTCTAATCACTGCGCCACCTCGGTTCTATAGCCAATCCTAACTGGACCAAGAAAGAACCACTCAAAGTTCTCACCAACTTGCACCAATTTGAAATTAACTCAACTGAAAGCCAGAATATCTGGCTATATCGCTCTCTGCTGAGATGTGTGTAGTCAGTATCTACACTGCCTGTGAATAGACAACCCACAGTTGTCAAGTGAAAGGAAGTAGGTTCGCTAGAAATTTGGACACTAAACCCTGAAATTCAATGCTGTCCAACTGGTTGTGAAAAACCTGCGCCAATATGTTACCAGAAAGATTAATCTGTTTCCACCCTGCCTGTGGGTTTCCCATGAGGGTATCTTGCTATCAACTGTCAGACGCTTGTTTGATGAGCTTTTTACATTTGATCTAGCAGAGTTCTTCTATAGTCTAGCCTGGTTCACACTGGCTTTCCTTATATTCTAGAGTTGTATTGTAATAGTTCAAAGGTTCAATTAGAAATCTTTCCTAACTAGGATAATTAGGCTATTTTCCAGGATGGAGTTAAATGGGCTGTTTTTCTTTAAATGGCCTCTGGAAATCCCTTTTACCTTTCTGCCCCCAGCATCTGCCCTCTAGCCCATGCACTCATTGCCCAACAGATCTTTTGAGACTTATAAGGGTAGGAAGACATAAGGGAAGAAATGGTTTTAGGAAGACACAGAGGGAAGGGATAGGAAGAAAGGATGAAGCTTTCATTGACCAAACTGTAAACAGCTCTGTCTTGGGCCAAACCCTCATTAATCTTGGAATGAAACATTGGTTTCCAAAGACTCCAGCCAAAAAAGGAGGAGGGGGGGGGGAATCCACCTTGCTTGGAAAAGTGTGAAGGGAACACTTCATGTGCCAACCCTACTTTGCAGCAGAAATTAGGAAAATGCAATCATATATGCCCAAACTCCCCAAATCAAAGAAACACTTACAGCACTGTGAGCCGGGGACTGGAAGCGGCTTCTCCTGCTTCTCCCAGGGTGAAGAGGGAGAGAAAGAAAACACAAAGATTAGGACCGGTCTCAGAAGAACTGACATCCTTTTTCTCAAAGCACTCTGATTTGGGAGCTCCAAAGCAAGAGCTGAAACCGGGCGGTAGATGGGGGAAGATGGAGAGGAAAATAGTTAAATGAAAAGTGCTTCATATGGAATGAGAATTTTTGACAATGGGAGCCAAGGGACTTAGTTCTATTTTGGATTTCACCGGGAACAGCACACGTCTGGTGCAACTGGTACACAATATGGAGTTGTGCAAAGGCCCTCCTAGCCACAACTTCCACCTGTTCTTTGAGCAGGAATCATGAATCCAGGAGGACCCATAGATCAGTGTTCTGACCCCCCTCTTCCCACATCAACACACACTCCGAGCCAGAGATAGGTTACGGCATTTAATTAACAGACAGATGGGTCCTTGGCAGCAAACCGGCACAGACAAGCTTGGGCAGCAATAAACACAGATAAGGCTTGGCAGCAATCCAGCCTGCCAAGCTCACAGTAATGTCCTCCGGCGTTGACTTCTGCAAAGAGGGGTGTGTGCACAAGGAGTCTTTTTATAGTCTGGAGAGGAGCCTAATAACCACCAGCTGAG